AATAACCCATATTTAATTAGTCACCTTTTGATCACTAAATTAATTCATAATTAATGTAAGATCAATAATAATTAAATAATATGATTTCATATATTAATATATTATAACTTATAATATGTTAATAAGTCATAAACATACTATTCTCATAATATTATCCATATAAATAGTTCGGGTGAAGTGAAACCCAAATGGACCATGTCGGGTCGGGTCAAGTATATACCAAATAAGTTATGGACTTAGACACCTTATCCAACAGGTTGGGGAAGCCCACAACACACCTTCTTAGTCAAAATCAAAGATCCAATTGAAGCAATTGAACCCAAGAAGTTGATTAGCCTTAAGAATGAAGGAATCCCTAATTCCTAGAGGATGTCAATGCTTACACATCCATAAAGGAGTTATGATTCATAAGCTAGAGATGATTTCTACCATCATAAAGACCTTGTTCTAAGTAAATTCAATGATTCAATGCTAAACCAAAGAAATAAACGAATAATTGCTTATTCAAGTACCAAGCTCATGATCAAAGCATTAAACATGCATAGGAAATATGAACTAGAATCATAGACATAAGATAAATGATAAATAAACATGAATCCTTCAAAAACCCACAAACATTCAAAGGTTTTAGCCAAGGCTAACCAAAATAGAGAATTTAGCCACTCATGGGAATAAAATAACAATCACAAAAGTCTAATTGCATAAAGAAACTACCAATAACTTGGAAAGATGAAAAGAAATGAGTCTCAAGCTCCAAAATCGCCTTCTTCTGGTCTCCAATGGTGTAAAATTGAAGTGATAGCTGAAAGATCCAACCCCCAAGGTAAATGGCAAGCCAAATGACCAAAATGCCCAAAACTGGGCAGTTGCGCGGGTACCCGCGTACGTGAGAATCCACCCGCGCAAATATTGCTAAAATGCTATTGGCTCATTTTTCCTCCACTAACCATTCCACAACCTTGGGACAGTACATAAACAATCATTTTCAGTTGGAGATCAATTTAAAAGTAAAAAAGAATTAAAGGAGGCAATTGATGTGCATGCACTAGAATCAAGAAGGAATCTTTTCTTTTAAAATAATGACAATGTAAGGCTTAGGGCACAGTGTAAAGGAGTTGTACCTGTCACCAATAAAGGCCAAGTGGGTAGTCAAGCTACCACTTCAAAAAGAAAAGGTAAAGAAGTACAGACACAAAAAGTAACATGTGGTTGGTATATTCACGCATCTAGGTCAAATCCTGAATCTGACTGGTTTATAAGGACCTTAAACCAAACTCACACATGTTTGCAAACAAGGAAACTCAGGGCTTGTACTGCTTCTTTAATCATCAATAAAATCCTTGATCAAGTTGAGGCAAATCCAGATATACCTTTGAGAGCCATACATGATCACTTTCAAAAGACTTATCAGGTGGGTATTTCGATGGACAAGGTGTTTAGGGCAAAGGATAAGGCAAGAAAGCATGTAACTGGGGACTACACAAAGCAGTATGAACTGTTGAGGGACTATGTTCTCGAACTTCAAGCTACCAACCTAGACACCACAATGAAAATAGATGTATGTTCTGAGCCTAAATCTGCTTCCTTAACCAGTCAGTTTAGAAGAATTTATGTGTGTTTGGGTCCACTGAAAAAAGGTTTCAAGGCATGCCTTAGGGACTTATTAGGTTTTGATGGTGCCTTCATGAAAGGACCATTCCCAGGGCAGGTCCTTTCAGCAGTTGGTCTTAATTCCAATAATGGAGTTTACCCATTAGCATATGGGATTGTTGAGTCTGAAAACACAGCAAGCTGGAAGTGGTTTTTAGAAAACCTTGGGATGACTTGGACCTTGGAAGAAACTCAAATTTTACTTTCATAAGTAACAGGTAAAAGTTAAATCAAATTTATACATTTGGACATTTAAGATGTGTGATTTTTAATTAATTCTAATTATTGACAATTGATTCATGTAGGGTTTATAATGTGCAGTTGATCAGTTGTTTCCCAATGCTGAGCATAGATATTGTATCATACATATTCATGACAATATGAGAAAGAGGTGGAGGCGAACAGAGTATAAGGACCACTTATGGAGGTGTGCATCAGCTACCACCATTCATGAGTTTGAACATTTGATGAAGGAGTTTAGTCAGTATGATAAGGAGGCATGTGAATGGTTGAATCAAATTCCTCCTCCACATTGGGCAAGGAGTCATTTTTCAGGTAATTCTATATATTCCAATTTGGTCCTTATGTCTTTCACTTTGTGAACTCTTTTACTTGTATGTTAATTATATTAATAGTTTTTAAATGGTAATGTACAACAGGAAGAGCAGTTTATGATGTGTTGATATCAAACATGAGTGAAGTGTTTAATGGGAAGATAGACAAAAGAAGGGAGAAACCTGTCATTGGATGTTTAGAATACATAAGGGAGTATCTAATGAAGAGGATATGCAATGTCATGAAGGAAATGAAAAAGGCTTAAGGTCCACTAACACCCACAACAACACACATCCTAGCTGCAAGAAAAACAGTTGCTTCACAATAAATTACTAGGTGGAATGGGGGAGACAAGTATCAAGTCACAAGAGCTTTACAGGATCAGCATGTGGTGGATGTTAGGAGCCAAACATGCACTTGTAGAAAATGGGAATTAATTGGAATTCCATGCAGACATGCAATTGCAACTCTGAATGGATTGATTAAAGACCCAGAGGTTGAGCTTGACATTTACAAATAGGTTCACAAGGTGTATTTTCTAGAGACATGGAAAAAACTTATTCATTTAAGGTGGAGCCAATTAAGGGGAGATCCATGTGGCCCAAAATTGAATGTCCCACAAAGCTAATCCCTCCTCCACATCGCACTTAGGTGGGAAGGCCTAAGAATAAAAGAAGACAAAGTGAGGGTGAAAGGTTAAGCAAAAAGCAGAGGGCAAGTGAAGGTGATGGAGTGAATGCTACACAAGAAGGAGGTTCCCAAAGACCAACAAATGATGTAGTACAGAAGCTATCAAGGAAGCATATCAGTGTTACTTGTAGCAAATGCAAGAACAAAGGACACAACTCTAGGACCTGTAAAGGGCAATGTGGGAATCAGTCCAAGAAGTAATGTGTCATGCATGGGGTTTTCTGTGATTTTGGTTGGTTATGAAAACTTGGTTGTTATGTTTACACTATTTTGTTGAAAACTTTTGGTTGGTTGTTATGAAAACTTGGTTGTTATATTAGGTATGGTAATGTGCCCCTTTTGGTCATGTTTAGAATCTTTGGTTGTTATGTTTAGAAACTTTGGTTGTTATGTTACAAATCTTAATGAAATGTGCATTTTGGTTATGTACAATTGGTTCTAATGTATACATTTTGGTAATACCTTCATACCATTTCTATTCATGTATTAAGTTTGATATATTCATACCATTTTGGTAATACATTCATATCATTACACTTATAGCATACCATACATATATCATTAACATCAAAAGTCACTACAAACATGATCAAATAAAATTACAAAAAAATGACCATTTTTTCCCTACTAATACCCTTCACAGACCAAAACATGATAACTTTAACCCCTACACAGACCAAATACAGAAGATAACAATCACAAAAAAACCAACTTCCAAACAGGTACATTTTCAGCTTCAAATTGTCATCCTTCAATGCTTTGCAATTTGCCACCAACATGTTGTTCCTGCATATTAGTCCATTGCATTGATCCTCTAGCATGTTCACACTTGTAACCAACTCATTGCATTGTTCTTGCACTGAATTCAAATTTCTTAGTAAACCAGGTATGATGGCTTTAGCCCTAGCGCACATTGGGGGATCAAGCCACCCGATAAACCCACAAACGGAATCATTCATAGGACATGCAAAAAATCTCCTTCCTGGATTCATAGGGGTCCAAGACATTTTCACCACAACAAGTTTTCCACAAAAACATAGAACCATTATTGTTGTAAAAAAGCTCAAGAAGAAGAAGGGTAGAAAAAAGAGACGTTGGGGAAGAAGATAGCAACAATGGGGATCTTTAAAAGGAATTAAGCCAAAAAAGGTTTATGCAAAAATGGTCCCTTACATATGAAATGACGGATATACCCTCATGTGTGAGGCACATGAGGGTGTTAACAGGTCCTTTTTAACGGGAGTTAAGTCCGGGGACCAATTCCACATACAAACCACTCTAAAAGGACCATGAATCCAAAAAACTCGGGGTTTGGACTAAAACCCCAAAAATTTGCATACCATAGGAACCATTTTTGCAATTTTGTCAGAAAGTTATCATCTTTGAAAAAGTTTTTAGATGATTATTTCAAATAGCTCATATGAGGATTTACAGTTCAACCTATTAGTCGGTTGTAGAGTGTTAAAAATTGACATAGGAGCTTGACATAATTTCACAGAAAAACCGGATACGAGAACTACCAATGAAGAGTTGGGTTGTGATGTTGGAATGGATCAAGATTGTATTTCTACTTTTAATTATCTATAGAATTGTTTGGTTTTCTTGATAGGAGACTCTTGTGTTTATATTGATATTTGCTTTTATAGACTTGTAATTAGAGCAAACTCTTATATGTATCCAGAAAAAGTCTTAGGTAACCCTGTAAAGGAAGACATTAGAACAATCCTAATATAATAGAGATTTTCTTATAGCTATCATAAAAACTAAAAACATACCAAGGTTATCTATTCTGTTAATGTGAAGGGTATCTTAGTCAAATCTAAACAATGGATAAAGAACAAAATACGTGGCATCCAATGGGAAAAGCTATATCCTCATTTCCCTACATGCAAATGAGAGGTCCAAACTTTCCAAAACTCAAAATAATCAACTGCTTCGTCACTCCACCATAATCATATACACCGCCACTCACTCACATCATCCATCGGTCGATACAGAAAGTCAATGTCACTACTCAAAATCAGAAGAATCTCCACCACACAACACGGTAGTCCTCCCACAGCAAATCAATCCAACCAGCAAGTTCAAAAAGCGTCAGGGTGATGAAGCTCACACTCATTTCACTCGTCAACCACAACCAATTCGTTCTCCAATTTCAAGTTTTCTGAAATGGCGAGACCAGTTTCCATTGAAGTATGGAACCCTAATGGCAAATACAGAGTTGTTAGCACAAAATCCATGCCGGGTACACGCTGGATTAATTTACTGGTTCAACAAGATTGTCGTGTTGAAGTAAGTAGTTTGATTAATCTTCCAATTTTGATCAATTTCAAATTGGATTTTCTACATGTCGATCGATGTTTTTTATGTTTCAGATATGCACAGAGAAGAAAACGATATTATCTGTTGAAGACATCATTGCTTTGATTGGAAATAGGTGCGATGGAGTTATCGGCCAGGTAACGTTTCGTAATTCAGATTGCTTTTTGTTTATCGGCGCTTGTATTTCCACTTTAATTTGGGGTTTTTTGGTGATTCTGGATTCTTTAGAGTTGCTATGAATCTGGAAACTGATTTGTTTTGTTGAATATGTGTGAATTTTGGGTTTTAGTTGACTGAAGATTGGGGGGAGACATTGTTTTCAGCATTGAGCAAAGCAGGTGGAAAAGCTTTCAGCAACATGGCTGTGGGTTACAACAATGTTGATGTCAATGCAGCAACCAAGTATGGTGTTGCTGTTGGAAACACTCCTGTGAGTTCATACTTCATAATCATATCAATAATATAAGTATAAGTTTTTATTATTTTTCAGAAAACCAACAATCGGAATTAAAACTTCAAAAATTATGATTTATGCATAGGGTGTACTTACAGAGACCACAGCAGAGTTAGCAGCATCACTTTCACTTGCTGCTTCAAGAAGGATAGTTGAAGCTGATGGGTTCATGAGAGCTGGCCTATACGATGGATGGCTTCCACATCTGTAAAATCTCATATTTACCCTTCACCAAAACCAAAACATTTTCTCCTTTATTGAATTGTTTAAACAATTACTCTTTATTAATTTGTTGCAGGTTTGTGGGGAATTTGCTTAAAGGACAAACTGTTGGTGTGATTGGAGCAGGTCGTATTGGATCTGCATACGCTAGAATGATGGTAAGAGTTGGAATTTACAATCTTACCCTTTTGTGATTAAACTAAACTTGAAAAAGAAAAACATTTGGTTAATTATCAGATTGAAGGATTCAAGATGAACTTAATTTATTATGATCTTTACCAAGCCACACGTCTAGAGAAGTTTGTTACAGCTTATGGTCAATTCTTGAAAGCCAGTGGCGAAGAACCTGTCACATGGAAACGCGCATCATCAATGGATGAGGTTCTTCAAGTAGCTGATGTCGTAAGTTTTTCCATAATTACCCCTTCACATTTATTTTAATATTTATATCTATTTGATGTTATTGTTTGGTTTTGTTATGATGATTACAATTTACATAGATAAGTCTACACCCAATATTGGACAAAACCACATATCATCTCATCAACAAAGAACGCCTCTCGAAGATGAAAAAGGTAAAATCCGTAATTTCACATTTTTTTAAAACGTGAAATTACAAGTATGTCCTTGTAAGGCTAATTGAGTCGAATCTGAAATATAGGAAGCAATCCTTATAAACTGTAGCCGAGGACCTGTGGTTGATGAAGAAGCTCTTGTGGAGCATTTGAAGCAAAATCCCATGTTTCGAGTTGGGCTTGATGTTTTTGAGGATGAACCATACATGAAACCTGGGTTAGCTGACATGAAAAACGCCATTGTTGTCCCTCATATTGCTTCTGCATCAAAGGTAAATACGTTTTTTATATTGTTTTTATTTAAATCATGGATATTTTTATTTTATCATATGTTTGTTTATGTTTATGCAGTGGACTCGTGAAGGAATGGCCACACTAGCTGCCCTGAACGTATTGGTATGCAACTTTTAAGTACATATGATAACAATGTGCTTTATTTAATTACAATTATGTTTATAGTTTGAAACGAATGAGATTTGTAACTTTGTTTTTGCATTTTGTTGAAAATATATATATATATATATATATATATATATATATAATATATATATATATATATATATATATATATAGGGAAAAATCAAAGGGTATCCAACCTGGTCAAACCCAAACCAAGTAGACGCTTTTTTGGATGAGAACTCACCACCTCCATCAGCATGCCCAAGCATTGTCAATGCAAAACAACTAGGTAAGTAGAAAGAGTATATAAAAATTTATACAAAATGCATTGACATAAATTACAACTTATTATACATAATTATTATCGAATACGTACAGGACTACCTGTTTCGAAACTCTAAAGATGGGCAATGATTCTCTTGGATGACACTGCATATGTATTCCGTTGATTACTGTCTACATGTATATTGCTTATGCTCACTACTCTATGTATATTTGCAATGTGCAAGTGGAATTGCATTCAATATGTATTGTGGTTTGTATCAAGTTTGCTTTGATTCTTGAGGCAAGTTGATATTGTATTATCATACAATACGAGTAATGGTGGACTCCTTAGTCTTGGTCTTTTTCAAGAAAATAGCAACCTGAACGAATATGACTATTGTTCATGTTCGTTCATTTAACTAAACGAACGAGAATTTGTGTTCATGTTCGTTTATTTATTAAATAAATGAACTTTCCGTCGAACAGTTTACAACAGTTTGCTAAAAATCTGATTCGTTTATAGCCCGAATAACTCCTAATAGTTGAACAAAACAAACTAGTATTGTAACTATTCTAGTTACATTGGTGTTACCCATTCTTGTAAACACCTAAAATAAATCCACATACCAACATCAAATTCTTTTTCAAGTGAAGTTATAGCACATTATCATTATTATTTGTCCTTTATATTTAATAAATTCGCAATGTGGGGGTAATTATTGTACTTTTGAGTTCAAGACATGTGCTAAAGTTGGGTTATTCGGAGGAGAATAACTTATTAGAGGGAAGCATAAGAAGGCCACTAACCTTAATATTGGTCTGTTTTGTGTGTTTGGTCAATCAAGAGCAACGGGAAGTGGTGAAATTTGATTTTCCGTGCAATTAAGAGCGATGGAATTATGTGTGTATAGTGTATTAGAATTCAGTATGCAGAAAGCATCAAATTCCTAGTGAATTAGAGGTAAAAAAATCTCACCTACGGACCCTAGCCAATTTTCTTAGAATTCAGTATGCAGAAAACATCAAATTCAGTATGCAGAAAACTTGATTGGTGTGTTATGGATTTGTGGATTTGAGCATACTTGGGTGTGAGTAATAGGTAAATAATATTGGAGATTGCTTTGATACTGCTATATGATACCCAAATTGATGTAAAACCCCACCCCATTCACTTATAAGTCAAAAGGGGTTAAGTTTTTTGGATTTTCACAATTTTTAGAAACGAATGTGATATTTTCACTTATCATTTTGATTCATCCGGTTAAAAAGAATATGTTTGGAATTTTATGTCCCTTGTCATGTTCCTCTCTATTCAATTAAAATGAAGGTATAGATATCAAATCATGAAACAAACATGATAATCCCTATGTAGTGGACAAGATGTCAATAACTATGATACGACCTCACAAAAGGCAGTGACCAAGTCATACGACACCTCATATAGTATTGGTATCATGCGTAGACCATACACTGCTTGTTTTGCATGCAAAACAGGATTTCTATCCAAGATGGTATGTCCTTACGAGAAACATGAGTGTTTGTTTCAATGAACATGTTCAATCCAGTTTAAATAAAATGAACCCAAATTGATGTCAATTTTTAAAGATTCATATAATCCGAACTAAGATTAAATTCGTTTTAGACCAATCAAATAATGACTTGGTTGGATTGATTTTTACGGTTCCGTTTTCAATAGTATGCTACATTTCAAATATAAGTTTTTTTTATACACCCTCTGAATTCCCCTTCTTAACCCCCCCTCCCTTTTTGTCTTTTTCTTCTTTTTTGTCTTTTTGTTTTTTTGTGTTTTTAATATTTTAATAAATTCGTAATATTATTTTTTTCGTTTGGACTATATTTTTGTTTTTTTTGTTTTCATTATTTTTCATAAATACATATTATTATTATTATTATTATTATTATTACTACTACTACTATTAAGTCAATGTCATTGACCAAGTCTGACAGTTAGACAAAGTCGATAGACATTAGATTTGCAAATGAATTGGCTTAAGCACTCTTAGTTTAGTTTGTTTTAAACCTGAGAACTTAAAGCAATATAAGTGTTAATTCGATTTGGCGATTATTATGTGGAGATCTTAATATATGATGGATTCAGTTATTTCAGTTAGCTTATCAATGTGTTCGCCTTTTGCATGTTTGGAGCCCACTTCCCGAGTATTAATTTACTCAAACGTCCACAGTCGGTCATACTCCTGGAAGTAAGTAGTGATTCAAGACTGTCATGAGTATTAGTGGATTGTCCATAGTGATTGGACATAACATAGAGATTGTGCTAACACTCATGAGTGCTTAATAGAGATTTAAGTATTGGACCAACCCGCGCTTAGAGATTACTTCATGGATCTAGTCATGAGTAATTCTAAGACGATAATATCTTCTATTTTTCAAACCTAGATACATGTCGGGTTTAGCTCTAAGATTCTGTTATGCATTGGTCTACTCCAACGCTATCCGTAACTGGTAGTTATAAAGGGCATGTCCATGTGTGACATGATGAAATAGACAAAAACTATGTAGTCAAAGTTTATTTGTTCATTCTGACTTAACAGGAGAAACGATATCTATGAGCCCCTCGATGATTTGGTGTTGACGTCTAAAGTGCTTGGCCGAGCCCTGACTGGAATTGATGTGTTCAATTTAGTAGTTAGATGCAATCGTCACAAATCTATATCGGGAAACATAATCTTGAATTCTAAGATTGACAATTATCCATGTCTCGAATTCATACAAATATCATAGAACGAAGGGATAGTTGATCACTTATCTAAGGGTTGAATCTTGATTAGGTCAAGAGTTCGGTAGTTGCATTGGATGACTAACTCTCTGTTGATTATTGGAGAAATATTGGTCCTCGTATAGTTGATGACTTGTCCAAGTGGAAGACTGTTGGAAGAGTGTCCAAGGTCATTAAATATTGGTAATATTTCTAATAAAAACAGGATCCTTTTGGGTTGCTCTCAAGACCCAAATTGAGTAGAATAAATAAAGGAGAAATTTGTTTATTAATTATTATGGTTAATAATTAATTAGAAACTAATTGGAAATATATTTTGGGGATTAATTAACAGTTTAATTAATCAAAGCGTTGAATATTCATTAATCGATAGTTGGTTAATCAGGAATGTTCCAGAACCTTTATGAAATTAGGGTTGGATGAAAATCACTCCATCCCACAAGGGAACGAAGTGAAATTCGTTGTTGGCCTCCTATCCCACATATGAAGGAGTACAAAACCTAAGGAGGGATCCAATGCTATAAATATAGGGCCTTATGGATTTCATTCTTCCTTGCACCTTGGCTTGAAGTTTCGCCAACCCTTCTTCCTCCCCCTCTTAGGGACGATTTCTAACTCGCTTTGGGTTTATGAAATTGACCCTTCTCCTAGTTATTTTTTATTCCACTCTTTGGTGTCATTGGGCGTGATACCATTAGAGGGATTCTGGTTTGGGTCCTCTCATCCAAGCAACTTCATGGAGGATCAAGATCGCAAGCATGGAGATCAAGGGCTACATAAGAGGTATGTTTTTCTTTTTTGTATTTTGTTTTCTATGGTAGATGTAATTAGCATGAAACCATAGATCCATAGGTTGCATGTACATTTAGGTATATCGTAGTTTCAATTTTTCCGCTACCTAGTTTAGAGTGTATTTGATGCATAGAAAACCCAACAGTGGTATCAGAGCCATTGGTTCATGATTACATTCACCCTAGATCCATATTTTTTGTAAAAACTTGTTTGAAATTGAATGAAAGAAGAATGACTGAAAAATTCGAAATTGATAAAACCTTCATTCGCAACTCACGATGTGAGAGCTTGATGCTCACGACGTGAGCCCGCCGAATTTAGGGCTTCCTTAATTTTTCATTTTTCAAATTTGAAGATTTATTAAATATGGATAAATACCAAATTTAAAATGTTTTAAATATGGAAAATAATAAATATTATTTAATAGAGATTTGAATTTGAATATTTATTTATTATTTAAATAGTGAATTTTAATATTTAATATTATTTTGAATATTAATCCCTTATGATTTATTAATTGTTACATTGCGTCCTCACAATTAATTAGAATTAATAATAGACAACTAAATTTAAAGAGTTTTAAATTTACCCCTTGTATTTATACATATTAGAATTGTATCTATTATATGTATGACAAAGTTACAACACGTGTCTTCGCATGTTTAAATGTTGACATTATCAGTCTTACCATGACTAGGCTCACCCATCCTGATGTAGGGGTTTAAGGAGGTTTCTATGATTCCTAATGAGGTTGGTTTTTTAATATGCTTCGTGCTTACCACCCTCACTTCCCTATTACATTTTGAGAATGGAGTTACCGAAAGGGTTTGATAGTGATAATGGTCAATCTAAAAGTATTTATAAATACAAGTATAAAACAAAATCCTGTTTTATTAATAGAATGTGAGTCTCATATTATCCATGAAAATTGCACATTCTCTTTATATTCTGTTGATGGAGCTCGTGTGGTTAACCGACACATTAATCTAGAGTATAGTTGAGAATGATATGGAACTCGCGAATCTCAAGCGTAACTTGAGTCGGGGACGATGCAATTTTATATGGTTAATTCACAATCTATTTAATGTGAATCTTATGTTATCCATAAAAGTTTCACATTCTCTTTATAACTTGTTGATGGAGCTCGTGTGGTTAACCGACACGTCAATTTGAGAGTATAGGTAGAGAATGATGTGGAACTCGCGAATCTCAAGCGTAACTTGAGCCGGGGACCATGAGATTTTGTATGGTTGATTCACCATCTATTCAGTAATCCAAGGTGACCCCTTCATTAAATTTGAGATGAACATAACCCGATATTAACATGCCATTGATAGTCAATGAATCTCAAAGATCTAGGAATTTCATGGTGATCGAAATTGGCAAAGGGCTTTGCCTACCTAAATAACTTTATGGTGTTTTTACAACATCCCTTTACACATCATGGAGCCAAATATGGATCCTAGACTTCTTATTTAGGGTAATTATTTTCTAAGGATAAGTAAAACAAACTATAATGGAAATTGATATTGAATGATGTTTATAACCTTATCCACTAAAATCTACTGCTGTAAAACCTTTGAAAGGATTAGCTATGAGGATGATCAATCTTGTCAAATTCGTAGTTTGGGAATAGTTCTCATAAACAAAAAGAAAGATCATGTCTTTGATAAAGCTTTTCCTAGGTTACTCCCAAACATTGCATTCTAATCTATTAGAAAGAGCAATCATCAAGTGTACGTTGTAAACTAACATATTGAAGTAAAATGGAATTTCCTTGTGTTAGGAGTTGGCTAGGGTTAGTCAATTAGCCGGCATGTCCATTTCCTCTGATTTTGATATGAACAACTTGGAATGCCCATGAATGAGTTGTGTAGCAAGTTGAGGTTTCCTTTTGAAACTAACATGGACAATCATAGAAACTCAA